GGCAGCATTCTTGCTGCTGGTGCGCAAGCAGACAGGCGCGGGGGCGGGCGAGATAACGAGGGAGCTGTTGCAGTCATATCTGGTCACAGTGAAAGCCTCGTTCAATAATCTCGCGGCGACGATGCCGCCGCCCAGGGATGGCTTCCAGGCTCCCCCCATCGCGCCTGGGAGGCTCCAGTCTCAGCGCCCCTCGTCGACGCCTTCCCGCCAGGTGTTGGAGCGACGGCGCCGAAGATAAATCCCGCCGAGATGGTGACAATTGCGAAGCTGATCAATCTCCGTGCAGGGAAGAAGAGCGGTCAGCTTTCGCTGCCCGCGTCTGCGCCCGCCCGCGGCGGGCTGCAGCCATCCCACGGCCCAGGCGGCGGCTCTCCCCAGCAGCGCCTCCCCATTGCGGCGGCCGGCTCGTTCTCTGGGCGCTTGCCGACGTTTCCACAGGGAATAACAGAAGGCATTCCCCCGCGGGGCACCTGGCATTGGGTCGAGGGGTGGGTTCCTGGATCGGCGTGGGATGCGTTTCTGGATGCCTGGATCGAGGGCGTGGTGCGAAATTCTGGATGCCTGGGTCGGGTGGGAGGGGGATGGGGGGGGGGGACATATTTTCGTTTGGCGGTGACCCGCCTGATTTCAGGTGGGGCTTTCGCGCAGCGGCGGCCGCTGGCCCAACCCAGCCATCCAGCAGATCGACCGCTCGCAGACGCAGCAACCGCAGGAGCCGTTGCAAGAACGAGCAGGTTCGAACCGCCAGCTTTTGATGGCGGCGGGGAGTTCGGACGCGCCGTCGACGCAGCAGCTGGCGGCACAAGATGGCGGCAAACCCGCCGACGGTCAGCCGCTATTGAGCACCGCCGCCGCCCAGACGGCCTCGATCAGCAAGAGCCGCGCACCGAGGAAGCCGAAGAAGCATGAGTTGCCGATCGAGCTCGACTCCGGCTCCGACTTCGACGCCGTCGCCGCGACGCTGCCGCCCAAGGCTGAGAAGGTCGGCATCGCCGCAGGCTCTCTGAAGAAGACCCCGACGGAGGCGGCTTTGGCCATGGGTAGAAGGACGAAGGCGGTCAAGACGAAAAAGGACGCCGAGGCGGTGAAGGCCCCCACGCCTGCCACGGGCAACGCGGCTAAGAAGACGACGCCGCCCGCCAAGGACAACGCGGCACAGAAGACGACGCCGCCTGCCACGGGCAACGTGGCTAAGAAGAAGACGCCGCTCCCCACGGGCAAGAAGACGGACGGCGCGGCCGAGAAGGGCAAGAAGCGCAAGTGGGCGAAGCCGAGGTGGGAGATGCAGACCACGCGCAACTTGGCGAGCGGGGTTGAACCCCCCACCGATGAGGCGTCGGGCGCGCGCGGCGATTCCCAGCAGCTCCGCTGGGATCGCAGCTTGCGCGCCCGCTGCCTTTTGGGCGACTGTTCATCGTTGCTCCGCCCCCCAGGTGCAGTTCCGCAGCGGCAGGGTCGGCGCCCCCGGCAGCAACGTCAGCCTGGGGTACATCGCGGGCAACGAGGCCGACAAGGCCAGATTCTCACCGACGCCCTGCTCGACGCCCTCCTCCGCGCTCTCTTCATTTTCGCCCCTGCCTCGACGCCCCCTTCCAGCCCCTGCTGTCTCGTTGCGCCCGATCGCTCCGAGGCCGGGGCCATCGCGGAGGCGGAGGAGCTGGTTAAGAAGGAGCACGCCGCCATGGCGCGCGGCGAGTAATTCGCGCTACGACTCCTCGACTCTCCAGGCCAACGGAGCGGCTTCGGGAGAAAAAAAGCTCGATTCAAGTATTTCCCTCAGCCTTCTCACCTTCCAACTCGTGGCGGACGCGCCGCCCCCGCCCCACCCCTTTGCGCCCCTCCGCCCCTCAGGCGGACATGCCGCCGCCCCCCTCCCCTACTCGACCCTCTCCTCGCCCCCGCGCCACGCCCCTGCGCCCCCCTCTCCGCTGTCAGGCGCGGGATCCCACGCCAACTAACGTCGGGGAGACGCCCACTGCTCGAACGGCGAAGGCGTTCACCCAGAATGGCCTGGGCGCGCGCGAAGGCACTGACGTTGCCACCGCCCCTTAAACGACGAAAACAAGTGAACCAAGACCTGCGCATTCAAAGGGGCGTCGGTTCATTTATATTTCTGGTGCCCAGTGCCACCCCCACTCTGCCGGAACGCCCCCCCCCCCCCCCCTGTGAATCTCAGATAGATTTCTAGGGTTCTGTGTGACTGGAGCTCCCGACCCTGTGTCCGTCCCGTTCGGGTCCTTGGAGCTCTTGAACCCATGTGCAACCACCCGCACGTGCTCTGTTTTCCTGTCCGTAGCCGTCCGGCTTATAGCCGGGCCAAGAGGCCCCTTTTGGCGATTTTGACATATCGGTCCGAAGCTCAGGGGGACCACGCGAGATAGAAAACGAGTTTCTCTCATCATCAACGTTGTGCTCTCACTTTGGACAGTATATCCAAGCTCTACGAGCCCACCGTTTCTGCTGTATTTCAAGCTCTGCGAGCTCAACATCTCCGCCTACCTACACAACCCTGAGGATCATATCCCAGTGCTTGTGAGGGTTTCTCGAAGTGTAAGGCTGAAGATCCGTGGAAGACACGCTCCACTGACATTGGTAGCGAGACGAAGTGGCAGCCCACTTCGAGGTCGATCTCCAAATCAAGATGGCGAACGATCAGCAGTCCGGAATCAAGATTCCTGTGTGGAATGGTGAGGCCTCAACTTTAGAGAGTTTCGAGGAAAAGGTTAAGTTGTGGGTCCTGGGCACAAAGAAGGATGACAGGATCTACCTCGGCCCGCGTTTGGTTCAGGCAATGGACGAGGACTCGCAGCAGTGGTTTGAGGCAAAGAAGGTTTCGCTCGACGACCTCGTCACGGAGGACGGAGCGGAAAAGGTCGTGGAGGCGCTCAAAGGAGTTAGAGGCACGGTCACGATGCAGGAAGCTGTGTCAAAGTGGCGAGAGTTCATGCGTGGAGTGCATCGGCATCCGGGTGAAGGTCCAAAGAGATGGGTTTCTCGCTTTGACATCCACTTGAGCAAGATCGGTAAAGCCCTCCACGCAGTCTGTGACGAGATTCCGGCCCAAGGTTTCATGCACGAGTTCATCCTAGGTTTGATCCTGCTGGACGGGACGGGCTTGGACCCGTCAGAGCAGGCCGCGGTGCTGGCGACCAGCGGCCCCAAGGGCAACTCATACCTCTACCAGGACGTGAAGAAGGCGCTAGCTGAGCAGTGGTCGGAGGAGCAGCTGGCATCGCGGGACAAGCAGAAGGGATACAAGGCCAGGAAAGGCGCTCACGCGGTCTTCGACGACGCCGACGAGCTCGCCGCCTACGCCGAGGAGGTCTACGACGAGGCGTACATCGACGGGTTCGAAGAGGCGGCAGACATCACGGAGTCGGCGATGACGGCAGCCGAAGATCTGATGACCGCTGCGCTCGGTGAAGAGCCTAGAGGAGACGAGGAGCAAGGAGAGGATGCGCTGGCAGCGGCGGCCTCGACTCACGAGACGGACGAGTGGACGGAGACGGCCTTCGCGGCCTCGAGGACGTTCGTGGAGGCGAGGAAGCTGATCAACGAGGTCAAGAACGCCAGAGGCTACTTTCCGGTGGTAGGTCTGGGCGCCTATGATGCGCTCCCGACTCAACCCGCCGCTGGAGCTGGACGCGGACGCGCAGTGAGTCGGGGCGGACCGCCTCGCAAGGGCAAGGGCAAGGATCGAGGCGGAGTGGCAGGCCGCGGCAAGGGTCGTGGTCAGAGTCAGAAGCGTCCAGCAGCAACCCCGAAGGACTCGAACCCAGGGACCAACGAGAAGTTCAAAGGGGCTTGCCTACTCTGCGGCGAGCCAGGCCACAAGGCAAGGGACTGCCCCAATCGGGGCAACGGCGGCGCCCAAGGGGAGAGGCGCCGGGCTTTCAACAGCTTCATCGGCGCGGCCGACGGCTATAGCAAGAAGGTCGAGTTCAAGGACATCCAGGACGTGTTCGTCGGCACGGCCAACGACGAGGGCGAGTCCAAGGACTGCGACGAGGAGGACCTGGACGAGTTCGTGGCCTTCAGCATGGACGACTGCAAGGGCTACGCACTCCTGGACGGTGGAGCGTCCAGATCAGTCGGAGGCGTGGAGCAGCTGGAGTACGTGAACGAGCGCCTGAGTGAGCCCATGGAGGTCAGCCCGGACAAGAGTCTGGGATTCTCATTTGCTGGAGGCGACAGGGCAGACGCACCCTCACGGGTGACCTTTAACGTGAAGGTCCTGAACGATGAGGCTGTGAGCATCTACGTGCTGGATCGTAAATCCCCGGTGCTGCTTGGAATCGATATGCTGAAGAAATACGGGCTCGTGATCGATTACTTCCACAACACCGTGTACTCTCATCGGTTCAAGCGTGAGATCCCCAGTAGAGTGCTCCCGTCAGGTCACTTGGCACTGAACCTTACTGCTCTGGGCAACGAGGCCTCGAGCACCAGCAGCGAATAGGGACAGCACCCTGGTCGCGACAAAGGGACTGTGGAAAAGTCGTCGTCCAAGTCTGTCGCCACCAGGGGCCCCAAAGACGCCAATGAGCTTCCCCAGATGCTCCAGAAGTTGCTCGAGGTCAGTGTCTCCATCATGGGCCCCTACCCCGAGCTAAGCCAGTCTATGCTACAACCTATTCTTTGGTATCTATGGGAACGGGCGGACTGGAAAGAAGGTGCGAGAGTTAGTCGGGATATATGGGTCGACTGCTCACACGCTCTCGTTCGGGTTCATCATCGGGTTCGTTTTCAGAGATGTGATCTTCGAGATTTTGAAGCTCTTAGTTTAGCCAGCTTATCGGGGAAACGCCACACTCATATGATTCGAGAAGACGGGGAACACATGATGATCATCGAGAGACTATCGAATAAAACAGCTCGAGAAGTCGAACGTTCGAGATGGGTCGGTCTCACTATCTACCCACGATCCTTGTGTTCAAGAACCGTTTCGGCTCAAGAAGTTCAACGAAGCAGGTCCCAGTTCGAGAGCGCGTTCCAGGCTGATGTCGAAATGCGCCCATCTGGACCAGATGCGTCAGGGGTCCAACCTTGCCGTAGACCTGATCCAGTGCAAGAGCTGCGGGGAGATCCTGTTCAAGCACCACTTCGCGAAGACGAGCGACCAGATGCTACTCCAGTGTGTTCGCTCCCGGCAGTATATCCACCGCCTGGAGACCACGGGTACGGCCCAGCCCGTGGCGCCCAGGATGAACCAGTCGAGCTCCTCGGACAGCGAGGCCACGGCGACGACAACGGCGCCAACGTCAATGCCTCCACCGAGCCCTCCAGGGGCCACCAAGAAGTTGCCCGAGCGCCTGTCGGCCGAGGTCATTCGGAAGCTCACGGACACGGAGGTGCAGCAGATCATCGAGAGCGAGAGGATCAAGATCCGCCAGGAGGAGCAGCAGCGCCTCGCGAAGGAGATCCTCCAGAAGGGCCTCATCGACACGCCGACGGACCCGACGGAGGTGGACGACAGGGCCAGGCCGAGCAAGAGGCTGGGCGTCAGCCAGATGCCCAAGGCCGAGTCGATTCCCGTGCCAGAGGATCTGCCGACACCGTCGGGACCGCCGAGGCCAGCCGGAGACCTTCATCTTGTGTGAAGAGCTGTGTATTCGGAGCGCTGATCGCGGCGACGGCGGCTCTGGGAGAGATACCGGGCACCGCCTGGGAGGCAGCCGAGACCTATGGCAGGCTGGACCTCGCAGAAGTGGCCTGTGTGTCCGACTCCAGGCTCACGCACGCGATGATCGGGCAAGGAGGCAAGGCCGAGAGATTCAGCGACTGGAACGGGTATGACTTCTCCACCAGGTCGGGTGCAGAGAAGCTCGTGAAGGCTTTGCGGGTCAAGAGGCCTCGAAGAGTTTGGTTTTCCCCACCGTGCGGAGCAGAGTGCCCATGGCAGAATCTGAACCCCGTAACGGCGGAGTCGGAGAAGAAGCTGATCAAGACCAGACGTATCCAGCGGAACGTCAAATGGGCTATCGGTCAGCTTCTGAACGAGGGTTTCTGCGACATATACCTCGAGCAGTCGGGACGCTGCAGGTCGTGGACAGGCAACTTCAAGGAGCTCAAGGAGTCCATGCATGGCTGCAGGATTCACGGGTGCATGCATGATATGAGAGACGAGCAGAGCGGTCTCCTCATACGCAAGGACTGGCACATCGCGACCACTGACCCGCAGTTTGAGAAGAAGGTTGGGAGGACCTGCCCTGACTTGCATCTGCAGATGCCGCTGGAAGGCGGCACGAGGGTGGCACTGTCAGCGAATTATCCCGTGAACCTGTGCCGGAGGATTGCCCAGCACTTCATGACCAGGGCCACCTCGGACGAGGCCCTCGCCTATCTGGTGCAGGCCCACAACGAGTTGGACGACGAGCTGTGTGCAGCGGGCTACAGGCGCTTGCGGGAGAAGCGGCCCGCCTCTGAAGGACCACCACCGCCGCCGCCGAAGCGCCCAACGCTGGAGCCCACAGCTCCCGAGAGTCAAGGAGAAAGCGCAGGCGGTCAAGTACCAGCTCCTGATCCGGACGAAGCTGGAGATGCTCAAGTCCCTCCAGAAGGAGAGGCGCCCCCGCCGACGCCCGAGTCGAGAGGTCAAGAGCAGTCGATGGGCAATCTCAGACTGCCACTGCCAAGGAGTGTCCAGACATGTACCAAGGCAGAGTTGCGCGAGCTGGAGGCCATCATCGCACACATCCATCGGAATTTCGGACACTGCAGTATGAGCACGGTCAGCGCCGCCCTCAAGTCTCGCAAGGCGGACCAGAAGATCATCGACCTTTGCAGACACTACGAGTGTCCGTCCTGTAAGGCAGCTCAAAGGTTTCAGATGCGACCTATTGCCAGCTCAGAACCAACGTTACCCGCTCCTGGTACCGAGATGGGTTGCGACAATTTCTATTGGACACATCCTCGACGAGCCTACCAAATTCGTGGGACCCTCTGTGCAGACTATGACAACCGCTTTACCCAGACGCCGATTCCCTGTCAGAAGGGGGTCGAGGAGCATTGCGGCAACACCACCGCGAAGGAGATGAAGGAGGTAGTGCTGAAGGACTGGATCCACCACTACGGCAAGCCGGAGGTTTTCAGGACAGATCCCGAGGGTTGCTTCAAGCAGGTCGAGCAGCGCGCCTGGGTCTCGGGTAACGGCATGGAGTGGAGACCGGAACCCGGAGAAGCTCACTGGCGAATGGGAGTGATCGAAAGGTGCATCGAGACTGTCAAGGAAATCGCCACTCGCCTCGCCTGGGAGCTACCAGACGACACAGATCCCGCGGACATCTTTCGCTGGGCTTGCGTGGCCAACAACGACCTGATGCGACACCAAGGCTACAGCCCGATGATGCTCATGATGGGTCGCACCCCGTCGGGGCAAGGCCTGGAGCAAGTGGAGAATCCTTCGGTCCTGAGCGCAAATGTGGTGGACAAACACTTCCAGGAGGTCACGCGCATCAAGGCGGCTGCCTACAAGGCGTGCGTGGACCACTACCTGTCGGAGAAGACGAAGCGTGCCCTGCTGGCCAAGACGAGGCCGTTCAAGACATGGGAGCCTGGTGAGAAGGCACACTACTGGCGAGGTGCGAAGATTAACAGTCACAAGACTCGACCAGGTATCGCTGGTCGATTTCACGGTCCCGCCACTGTCTTGATGCAGGAGCGCGAGATGAAGAACGGAGTTGCGGTGCGTCGAGGAGGTGTCTGGCCTGTTGACGGTGACCGTCTCGTACGAGCAGCGGCCGCTCATCTCCGCACGACTACGAAAGCGGAGCGGACCCTGGAGAGCATCTCCGCAGGGAGCTCCGACCACTTCAAGAAGATTCTTCAGGAGTTGACGAAGGGTGCTTACGACGATGTGGTGGATCAGCCTGGTCCGGGAGAATGGGACGATATTCCAGAAGGAGAGAACGTTGAAGTACCAGACCCACCCAGGATGACAACTCCAAGAAGTATGGCATTTCATCAACCTGATGATCACGAAGGTGAAGCGGGGTCGGGCTCGAGTGGCCACGAAGGGGCCGCGCCTGAGGTCTCACCGCCTCCTATGCCCGCGCAGAATCCAGCTGAACCGGCACCGACGTCGACCAGAGACCAGTTCGACGAGAGCGAGCCACCACCAGAAGGTTACAACAAGCGGGAAGCCAGTAAGGAACCTTCTGAAGATCCAGATCCCAAGAGACATCGCGCCGACTCTGCTGGGTACGTGGGCCATCTGTGCCAGAAGGCGTCGACGCTTGTCATGCCCGAGCTCGGTCGTGCCGAGCCCGAATCTGAGGGCAGTGCGAATTGGGTCTCACCCTGGGAGTATGATCAGAAGACGAAGGCTTCCGACCTGGTGGGCTTCGCGGGCGAGGACGAGCCGAACCTCGCGATCATGATCGGCTTCGCGCTGGAGGAGTCGGATATGGATCAACTCAGCCGGAGGCCTGACAAGGCCCTCGCTGCGATGGTCAAGCAGAACAAGGTCGAGGTGAAGCTCAAGAACCTTACGGCAGAGGACCGTGAGAAGCTCCCGATCGCGAAGGGTAACGAGATCAAATCTTTCCTCAAGTATCGAGTCTGCGAGGCAGCCAGTCGTGCAGGAGTACACCCTGGAGCCCTGATGAAGATGAGATGGGTCATGACAAGGAAAGAGACGGGCGACCTTAAGGCTCGTTTGGTGGTTCTTGGCTTTACCGATCCGGGACTTGGGCGAATCAAGACCGCTTCCCCCACATGCAGTCGTCGAGCTCGCCAGGCTTTCCTGGGCGTCTCCGCCTCGATGGGCTTTCAGGTCTTCAAGGGTGACGTCAAGGCAGCTTTCCTACAAGGCGATCTCGGAGAAGAAGATCGAAATGTCCTGGCCGAACCAGTCAAGGAACTTAGGGAAGCCATGCGACTCGAGCATCACCAATGCGTCAAGCTCAAGAAGGCAGTTTATGGTCTGGTGAACGCTCCTCGCAGATGGTGGACGAGAGTTCGCCGGGACATGGCCAAGCTCGGCTGGGTGGAGTCTACGACAGAACCTTGCCTGTGGTGTTTACGAGAACCTGGAGGACAGCTCATAGGTCTGGCCGTAGCCCACGTGGACGACCTCATGATTGCGATTGACCAGCACTCGGACCTTGCAGTGGACGCCCTCCAGCAGCTCCATCGAGCCTATGAGTGGGGAAGCTGGGAGACTCAAGATTTTGTTCAGTGCGGGACGTGGATTCGACAAGAATATGATGGACGCACGAAGTCATGGGGCCGTATCCATCTTAACATGAATGACTACGCCCAGGAGCTCGTGGAGATAGATATTCCCGCACATCGACATCGTGATCCCGAGCAGCCGGTGACATCGTCAGAAGCTACCCGTCTACGAGCCGCCTTCGGTCAGCTCATGTGGTTAGCTACGCAGGGCGTGCCCCTCATCGGGGCAGAGCTGTCACGGCTGCTGGCTTACAGTGATTTCGCCACGGTGAATACTCTCCTGCAGGCCAACAAGCTCATCAGGCGCACCAAGTTCGAGGCGACCGAAGAGCTCATCATGGAGAAGCGCGCGAATCCGTGTGCGGTCGGCTATTCGGACGCAGCCTGGAATGTTCGACGTGATGGTTCTTCACAGGGTGGTTTCTTGATCTTTCTGACCGACTATACCTTGATGCAGAACCGAGAGGCGCCGATCTCTCTGCTGGCTTGGGCATCGGCGAAGTTGCCGAGAGTGTGTCGGAGCTCGAGCGCGGCCGAGGTACAAGCCGCCAGTGAGTTTTGTAGGCTGCTGCTGAGCGAGATCCTGCTGGGACCCGCGCCTCTCAAGCAGTGGACTTCAAGCTGTGCGAAGATTCCTGGCGCTTTGGTCCCGGACTGCCGCGGCGTGTTCGATGCTCTGGATCGGTCCGAGAGCAGCGCCCTCGGCATGAAAGACAAGAGGAGCGCGCTGGAGGCCCAGGCCCTCAAGCGCGGCATGGCCGCCACATCCACATCCCTGAGGTGGTGTCACAGTGGTGCGCAGCTGAGCGATTGTATGACCAAGAACTCGGAGAAGGCTCGCGCCAGCTACAACCTTTGGCAGCAGCGAGGCACCTGGAAGTTGATATACGACGCTAATTTTATTTCCGAGAAGCAGAGAAGACAGCGAGGACTGCAGACACTAGACCAGGCCACATATTTCGCAGTTGATGACGACGATGCCTGGCAGTTGTACACGGAGGATTTGGAGATCAAGGAGGAGGCAGATATTCCCCAAGACTTTCGTCTTTCGGAAGCGGTGAGCGTGATGAGACATGATGCTACCTCCGTGCAGTAGCCTACGCCACCTAAGGGGAATATTCTGTGTGTACAGCAGTTCTTTCTCACCCCCCTGAGCGCGAAATAACTTTACTATTAAAAACAGCCGGCCGTACAGATGGTTCGGGGCATGTGAATCTCAGATTGATTTCTAGGGTTCTGTGTGACTGGAGCTCCCGACCCTGTGTCCGTCCCGTTCGGGTCCTTGGAGCTCTTGAACCCATGTGCAACCACCCGCACGTGCTCTGTTTTCCTGTCCGTAGCCGTCCGGCTTATAGCCGGGCCAAGAGGCCCCTTTTGGCGATTTTGACATATCGGTCCGAAGCTCAGGGGGACCACGCGAGATAGAAAACGAGTTTCTCTCATCATCAACGTTGTGCTCTCACTTTGGACAGTATATCCAAGCTCTACGAGCCCACCGTTTCTGCTGTATTTCAAGCTCTGCGAGCTCAACATCTCCGCCTACCTACACAACCCTGAGGATCATATCCCAGTGCTTGTGAGGGTTTCTCGAAGTGTAAGGCTGAAGATCCGTGGAAGACACGCTCCACTGACACCCCCCCTCCCCTCGAGACCCCGTCGCAAGAACCAGCGGGGCCCTTCTGAGAAGCTCCCGAGGGCTTGAGAAGCTCCAAAACTTCCATGGGCAACCCCCTCCCCCTCCTCCCGAAGTCTCGCTTCCGCGTCCGATTCCATTGCGGTTCAAGCCCGCGGCCCGCGGGCGCCCGCGAGCTCGCGCGGGGTCGGCCCCCCCTTTCGCGCCGACGCGGGGGCTGGGGCCCGCGCGCCGAGGCTGCGCCGCAGCCGCCGCGTCGCGCTCGGCGCCTCGCATTGCGGCCGCGGCCATGGCAGACAGCGGCAGCGCGTTCGACGCGTTGGAGGCAGCGACATCGCCAACACAATTGGCCCCGCGTGCGGTCGCCAGGGACGCGCGCATCGCGCGCGAAACTGGCTGGCCGCCCTCGGTCGAACTGTTTTGGCGATTCGGCGCAGGAGATGTTCGGGCCAGCGATGCAGTTGCTCTCCGACCTTGCGGGCGTGGACAAACAACGCAGGGGATCGGTCTTCCTCCGCCGGCGGCGGTCAGCCAGCCAGCGCGCCCACGTTGGCGGCGCAGCCAGCGCGATCGCGCAGCCCGCGGGCACCGATGACGCCGCCGCGCAAGCGGGGGCCGACGCCGCCGCCGCGGGGCCCGCGGCCGCGGCCCATCCGCGCCACCCCGCCCTCAGCTCTCGCGCAGGAGCTCGCGGCGCACATGCGCCCATGCGCCGCGCGACGCCTGCGGTGGAGGAGCCCCCCGAGGCGGCGGAGGCGCCCCCCGCAGCGGTGGAGGCGTTCAGAACGCAGCTGCGAGCATGGCTGAGCGACCCCGTTGGGAATCCCATCGGTTGGCGGTCGGAGAACGTGCTCGCCGTGCTCAAGGGGCACCAGATGAAGTACGATTACAAGAAATTCCACGACCGCGGCCCGCCTGGCCCCGCCATGGGCGGGCCGCAGACGCGGCAGGGCCAGGCGTGGCGCGCCAATGCGAAGCGCCGGGGGGAACCGAGGTGGCGCAAAAGCGCGACGTGTTTGCGAAGATGCACGGCGTCAAGGCAGCGCCGCGGGTGCGCGAGGCGCACGTCCCCAGGCCTCACTTGACGCCTCGGGAGCAACCGTCTGCGCCGAATTTGCCGAAGGCGCAGCTTCGGCAGGCGCCGTGGAGGGCCGCTGGCAAGATGAAGCCTCCAGCTCCGTCTCCGCCTCCGCCGCGGAAGACCGCGGGGCCGCCGCCGCCAAGAACAAGCACGGTGCCGCCGAAGACCAGCATGGTGCAGCCGAAGACAAAGAATCGGCTGCAGCCGGCAAGCAAGCTGGCACCACCGCCAGCGAAGCCGATGCCGACGCCCGAACCGCTCAGCTGTCCACTTGCAGGGTCATCGCGTGGACCTGCAGGCAAGCTGGGGTGCGTAGCTTCCGTATTTCGTGCGCGGGTAGCTGACGCGCCGTCCCCGCCTCATCTCATCTCATCTTTCCTCCCCTCTCTTCGCTTTCGACCTATCTCATTGGCGGGCGCGCCGCCTCTCCCCGCCTGGCGGACAACCGCCGTGCAGATGAGCATCGGGTTTGTTCTATGCGGTTGGAAAAAAAGCAGTCCTTCCCTGAGCCCTCCACTGGCGGCTAAACCGCCCTGGGGCCCCCCCCCCTTGGCGGCCACGGCGCCCTGCGCCCTCCATTGGCGGCTAAACCGCCGCCGCAGTCGCCTGCTGTCATCCCGAAATTTGGTGCCACCGCGCCTCTCACACAGGTATTTGTGGTTGCTGGGACGCTGTATCGGCCCGAATCTAGGCGCGCGCAGGATCGCGGCTCAGCGGCTTCTGTGCCAGCCGCGGCTCGCGGCTCGGCGGCGTCGCTGCCATGGCAGGCCAAGAGAACCAGCAGAAATGCGTCATGTTCGGCTTCAAGTGCCCACAATCCAGCCTCTGCAAAAATGGAGGCAAGTGGTTCAGCGCAGAGACAGAGGAGGCGGCCAAAGAGAAACTTGTGAACCACCTTCGCGTGTCGCCGCACCACGACTTGGGCGAGAGCGACGCGGAGGCCGCGGCTCAGTGCGCCGATCCCGAGTCTTGGGAAGTCGACATCGCGGAGTGGCGCGCCTGGGAGGAGGGGAAGGCCAATTGGGGCGCCTCCAAAAGGCGCAAGGGGGCGCCGACGGTCGAGCTGACGCCAATCGCTCCACAATCCCGCGCGGAGCGCTCGAACCAGCTGAAGGTCGCGCTCGCGGACGGCAGCGGACCTATAGGCGGCGCTTCGTCCGCAGCCACGGCGGGCGTGAGGATGTCCACGGCGCTGGCCAGACAGATGCCACCCGATAGCATCGCGGTGCTCAGCGGCACCCAGTGCCAGGCTGTGCTCGACTCGTTGCGCCGCGCGCGTACTGCGACGCAAATGTGCGGCCAGATAGCGGAGCGCGCGGTGAACGCTTCCCGCCAAGAGGAGCCTTGCATCGCCGAGTGCGAGGACGTGCTCGCGAGCTGGCTGGTGCGCAACGCGACCTCGTAGTGGCCTCCTCGCGCGGCGCAGGCGAACGGTTGGCAGCGCTGCGCCTTCGTTGCGGACCCAGGTGGTCCGTTGCAGAGGATGCGTAGGACGCTATCAGCGCACTGATGTCGTTTAAGAATCAGTCGCCTCATTCGTGCAGGCGGCGCGACGCGCCGACCCTGCAAGCCCCCCTCCCACTCCTCCATGGTAATTTCAACCCGCACTCCTGTGTCAGAACAAATTTGGACATCCCCAAACACTCCATCCGCAATCAATTCGTGATGGCTGCCACGCCGAGGTCAGTTTTGGCCACGCAGGCGACCGAGTAGCCGCGCCCCAATGCAAGGCGATAGGGAGGCGGGTGGACGAACGGGGCGGGAGGAAGGTGAGGGAACTTTGGCGGGCAAGACAGGTGGGCGGGTGGATGGGATTTGGTAAGAGGGCTGGGTGGAGAAAACTGCATCCGCATAAGAATGAGTGCGGTTATTTTTTTGGGCGCGCTGCATCGCCATGTCCGCCCCCCCATCGCCTTGCATATGATGCCGCTCAGGCAGCACGCTCCGTTCGCGCGCGCTCGCCCGTCTCTTCGCCTTCCGCGGTTTGCAGCACGCGGCGCCTTCCGCGGATGGCAGCACAGGGCTCCGTTCCGCCTTCCGCTGCTCCGCTTCGCGACCTCTGCGGACGTTCCGCTACGCCGCCAATGCGAAACAATGCAGTCATGGTTGTGTAGCAAACAACGTTGGATGTTAGCATATGTTATCAGATTTTATCACGCGCCTGATGACACCTGATAGCACCTGATAACACCTGATAACATGTTATCACATGTTAGCAGGTGTTATCATGGTGTTATCACGCGCCTGATATCATATGATAACATATGATAGCATGATGTCAGTTTTGTGTGGTTGGCATGCTACGCACAATTCATTTCAGCATCCGTATCACATCGTGCGTCCGCCACGCTTCGAGCGGCAAGTCCGCTGGCGGCCAATCCGCCTCCCTCGCCGCACCCCTGCGCCATCTCAAGCGGCGAGTCCGCCGGCGGATATGCCGCCCCCTTCATACCTCCCTCCACCCCTCCCCCCACTTTTGAAGCGGCTAGTCCGCTGGCGGCTAGCCCGCCTCACTTGCCGCGCGTTTTCTTCGTCGTTGCTTCGCGCCCATCTCATCTTAACAACACTTCTCTCGACAGCACGCGGCCGCGCGCGACGCGCAGCTTCTCGCGCGTCAAGGCGGCCGCGCCGCCAGTGGCGGGGATGCCGCCCGCTGAACATCGCCAGCAGCGGTCTTCGGCGCGGATGTTCGCAACGGCCAGGCCGAGAAACAAGGGGGTGATGACCGGGGCGCCCGCAGCGAAGCATTTCGGGAAAGCTAAGCCAGCGGGGGCGCAGGTGGCACTGACTGGAAAGCCTGCGCCGCCGCCCCCATTGACCGATGCAGGACCGCCGAAGGCATGCGGGAAAAGCAAAGGCAAGGGCAAAGGTAACCACCCCGCAGCGTCGGGGAGGACGGCTCGCAAAGCTGCGCCAGACGCAGCCCCCGCCGAGGAACTGCCTCATCAGGGCGCAGCGGGTTTGCCGGCAGGGCCGGTTGAACCGCAGGGCGCGGCGGACTTGCCAGAGCCAGACGACGCAGCGCCAGAGGCGGCATCGGGCTCCGAGGAGCGCGGCGACGAGATTGGTTCCGAGCGTGGCGTCAAACAGGAGGAGCTTGAGAGTGCCAAGCGTGAGCTTGAGGAGCAAGAGGCCCCACTGCAGGACGTGGCAGCTAAGGTCGAGAGGCACTCGCCCGATGCTGCATATACGAGTGAAGAGCGCTCTCCCGAGGCGGCAGCGCCGCAGACGGAAGGGGGGGGGGGCAGCTCAGGACGAACAGTCGGAGGGTGATCCGCCAGCAGGCATACGCCAGGTAGGGGAGTTCGGAGAGGTGCATGGCATCGGGGATAGCACGATCGCGCGTTGCAGCCGCTGCTGTCGCACGGCAAACGAGTGCAAC